TGTTGAGAACAAATTCTCAGATTCCCATTCTCCATTTTCATCATCTTCCTCGTACCGCGCCGAACGATCTCCGCGTTCACTGTGCTGTGCTCTTCTTCTCAACCCAGTAAGTTGCAGGAAAGTACTATCGACGCCATGTTTAGATATCACAGATGCAAAATCTGTTTCATTTGCGGGTTTTCGGATTTTGATGAAATTTTACTGTGTGGATGCTTTTGTTGATCTCGTTTGTTAATTTGTTTGGTCCGGATTCAGTACAAGTACAGTGACAATTGCTCGGTTACTTCACCAGTTGACTGCTCTTTTGGATTTACAGTTTTGTTTTTAATTAATTGTTGATGTTTCGGGTATAGCTTTTTCGTGTCGAGTTGTTGGCTAATCATCGATTATTTTGGCCATGCCATGGTAAATACCAGCTGTTAATGGATTTTGCTTCCAGTGTGCAGAAATGAATGTTTCTACTTAGGAGCTTATTTATTCTAAACTGTGTTTATGTTTCGTCTGTTGTCTGCTCACTGTTTGAATTCGTTTTGGATACCGAGTACAATGTTAGTTGTTCGGTTACTTCACTAGTGATTGCTCTTCCGGTTTTCCATGTCATTGTTATCAATTTATTATTACTTTGTAAACTGAGCTATGGTTATGGTGGATAAAGTTGATGTTTCAGATATAGCCATTGATTATGCTAGTTATTGGCTAATTATCATATAGTTTGGCCATGTAATGTTTAAGTACCAGCTATGGATGGATTTTGCTTCGAGTACGCAGAAATAAAATTTTCTACTTAGAAGCTTCTTTGTGCTATCTGTGTATATGTTTCGTCTTCTATCTGCTGTTTTAAAGTTGTCCGTGAAGAATTTTGGTTTGCGAACCATAAAAAGGAAAAAAGAAACTGGATCATTTTCGTCACTGTAAATTTGTAGCACATGATGACGCATTGATGTTGATGCAGACCATTGTTTTTGCCATATTTTTTCACAATTAGTTTCGTGTTTAAAGTTTTGTTAGTTGATTCTTGCGTTGGTCTGTGGCAGACATGGATAATGGTGGAGGTCTGAGTTTGTTCCCACTTCATCGCACCAAGACCATTCATCTGGTTAGCATCGAAAACAATTTCTACCTAAAAGTTTCTGTTTGCATTTCGAGAAAATTTGAATGTGCTGCGTCTTTGGTTTAAAGGACACTTTGAGATGGTCTTGTCTGACTTGGATTTTGCTAAATATTCGAAGGCTTTCTGGTCTTAATAAAACATCTATTTAGGTAAGGCACGCTCAAGGAATCCACAACGTAGATGGGGATAAGAACTACAAAGCTTACATGTCCCCAGAATATTTTGATGCACACCTTACTCAGCTGGGCTGGCAACAGGTTTTTAAGCAGCTGCCAGCTTATAACTTGACTAGTTGCTCCACCTTTTCGATCTCCTGAAACCCTTTAATTCATAGGAGTATCACATTTGGTTGTTGTATCAGGTTGACAATTTGCGTAAACATGTGCATTCAACTGGGCTTATAAAGAAAATTGATGTGGTCATCACATCTCCATTGCTAAGGTAGTATATCTGGTATAAATGAATCTAATGTTAATCTGACTAAATGTTCATACTCTGTTACATTGATGATGAAATACTGTCCTGCTGAAAATAATAATCATCATAAAAAGAAAATGAAATTCCAGGAAGCTTACCTCTTTGATTAAACTAATTGAAGAATTGAGTATATCGTAAGAGAATTGCTTTACAATGTGGAAAATAGAAGGGTATCTTTCTCGAATGTGGTAGCATGTGAATTATTCTTGTCCATGAGAGTCAGTTAGTGTCACGTCCCCATTTCATCTACGTGAAATAGATAGAAATTCACTGCAATGTCATGCTTCACGAGCTCTACTTGTAGTAGCACCTTATGCACGTCTGACTTTGTCAAACCATCTCGAATTCTATAAGCGACATTTCAGAAACATTTCGGAGAGATTCTTTATTTGGGTAATAGTTCTTAGTTGCAAGTTTCTAATATTCGTTTCAATTTTATTTTTCTCTGTAGGTTTTTGAATATAGGTGATAAATATTGGTTTATGTTTGTAGCTAGTGTATACTTTGCTCATGTATTGTACCTTTTAATGATTTGAACTCATAGGACCATTCAAACAGCTGTTGGGGTGTTTGGTAGCGAGGACTATGCAGATAGGAGGGATATATTGCCATTTATGGTAGCAAATGCTGGAAACAGCGGCCGTGCTGCAATCTCAAGTCTAAACTCCCCACCAATTCTTGCAGTTGAACTGTGTCGAGAGCATTTGGTACGTCTATTGGTGCAATAAGATTGCCCAGGTCCTCCTTTTTTTTGCATTGCTACTGTTTCAACATTTTATACTTAATGATGTTCCTATATTGGTGTTCTTCACATAATATCGAAAACAGAGAAATTTTATGTGTTGTTTCTGAATGCTCAGAAAAAGTTGGATATGGTGAAATCCTGTGGAGAGATATTTTACATACTTGTGACATAATAAAAGGAACCTTGGATCCCAATGAGGTGCACACTTATGCTATATGACTAGTTATAATATATAATCTTGCATGTGAGCAGGTTATGTGAAAATTTATGAAAATTCTTTGGGCCCTCTTCACAATGAAATAGCTCTTTATGTTGTTTTGATGCCAAAAGTAAAATTACTAAGTCATTTAACTTTCAATTTGGTATGTGATTTTTTATTATTAAAGCATTGAACTACACCGGGACTTCCACAATTCTAGTCTCTTAGCGTTTTAAGGGCACGACTCTGGAAAAATCAAAACTTACTGCTTTCCATGTAGAAATCTGGGCCAGCACAATTAGGACTTCTGATTCTGTATGAAGAAAGGACGATAACATTTCACAGCTTAATGACACAACAGCTGATATAAGATGATGCATTAGGAGCGAAATGTTTACGAATTTTTACTTCAAGCTACAAATTCTTATTTTGCAGGGAGTTCATCCTTGTGATAAGAGGAGACGCATTAGCGAGTATCAGTTCCTTTTTCCAGCAGTTGATTTTTCCCTGGTTAGCCATGTAACTATTGCTAAGTTATTTGGCAGTACTAACATGCCTGAGATGGATGCACTTTATAACTTGATGAATAAAAGATGGCATTATCCTCTTCTACTCACTTCTTGATTTTCATTCAGATAGAGAGTGATGATGACAGTTTATGGAAGGCTGATGTCAGAGAGACCAAGGAGGAAGTAGCAATCAGAGGAATGAACTTCCTGAACTGGTGAGTAGCTCTTTTCAAAGTCCATATAATACAGAGAGAAAGTTGTAAACAATCTCCTATTCTCATAAAATTGCATAATTTGCTTTTCCACTGAGTCGGTGATTAGTATAGGTATTATGACCAAATTTTGAAGCTCGTTCGCTCATTACAATCTTCGATAGTAGTCAGAGAGGGAAATATATATATATATAATATATATAAATATATATATTTTAGATAGAGAGAAAGAAAGAGACTTTCGACATATATTGATTCAAATTGCTTTAAGATCACAAATATAGTTTCAGTGCATTTCTTCCGATTCTTCTTTTTTTTCATCTTTTTTGCCTTCTCTCTTTTTAATAATATACATACCTACCTGTACTGTTGTACCCAGTTTGCTTGAGACAATGTGCATGCAACACAGAGAGAGAGAGAGAGAGAGAGAGAGAGAGAGAGAGAGAGAGACCTGTTCTGTTTAATAGATGTGATTTATGTGGTAGAATGATCATTCAGAGTCATTCTAAAGCCTGTGTATTTGCATATCTGGTGATAGTTTTTCCATATATAGCCATAATCTTTTTGCACTGCGTGTGTTATATTCTCGATTTGTACAGGTTACTCACGAGGAAAGAGAAGGAGATTGCAGTAGTCACGCACAGTGGATTCTTGTTTCACACGCTTGCTGCGTTGGGCAATGACTACCACCCACTCGTGAAGAAAGAAATTTCTAGTCAGTAAGTTCCATCTTCATCACGCATTCATTGGGGAAAAACAACATTTTGAGTAAATATATTTTTACTATCAAATGGTGATTTACCATTTTGCCGTAATGAACTCTTTGGGGCAACTGTCTTTTTGTAGCTTTGCCAATTGTGAGCTTCGTTCTATGGTCATCGTGGACAGAAGGTAAAAAATCTCATGACATGGAAATTGCTTCGACTACAAAATTTAGCCCTAGTATTCGGGTTTATTGAAACGATCCAATGCATTTGGCAGCAATGTTGGTTCGGATTTTTCATCAACTAATTACCCTGGAAAGATCCCGTCTGGCCTTGATGCGCCTAGTGATGCTGCTGGCAATCCAGATCGAGAGAAAGACTCGCCAAACTCATTACCAATGTAAAAGAGGGTGTTAAAAGGGTGAAAGTCCCAATTTCAACAGCAGGATTGGATGTCATTGGTGATAAGCCGACAGTTGCAGATGAGTTGAAAAACAGAGTAAACGAGTGAATGATGTGCACACTATATTAGGTCATGTAAAAGAGCTAGTAGGAAGCTGTACTGTAGTCTGTCTAGTTTCATGAATGCCTATATATTTTGCTCATTGTCTGGTAAGATGCCATTACTATCGAGAGCATTATTAGCTCCAGATTGTGTCGGGGGGTTATATGTCTGCTAAGACATAGCACTTGTCTGTGCTTAATTTTCCATTCCATCGGTCTCTGATTGTTTTTTTTTTTTTTTTTTTCAGAGATATGGATTACATCATATCATATACTTGTTCACATCTTTTGCTTCACTTGTATTCGTAAACAAAAGGATGGCAATATCTCAACACACATTCATATATTTAGTTAAATTGCAGTTCCTCACCGGGGCAAAATAGTTTGGAAATTTGCTTGTTTTATAAACCAACCCTAGATCACATGTTAAACTGGGTTTAAACAATATTTTGGTTTTTATTTTCTTTTCAACAAACCTACCATTGGTCACCTGTGAAATAGGTTAAACAATCATTGATGAATGATGTAGTCATTTCTGTTCAGTTCCCTTTCAACATGTCGTAAAATTGCGACGGTTTTTTCTTTGGTGTGCCGCAAAGTTCCTGGAATAGGTAAAGCATCACTGTTAAGCGGCTGTCTTTGTTTTAGTGCCTGATCCAAAAGTGGACACTAAGAAATTACAGATTTTTTGAATTAGTAAAAAAGCAGAAGCAATACCTCTACTGCAACAGCCAAACGTAAAATTGTAGCCTCACACCATGGCCGGCCAATTATTTGTAGGCCAATCGGAAGTCCCTGCTTGTCATATCCGACCTGAATAACAAACGAAAGCATATGTAACTGGTAATAAACGAACAAAGAAAAAGCGCAAAGCTGCTACCAAAACTCATTTTTTTGCATGCCGTATTGAATAATAATGTTTAAAAAAATGAATGATGAACAGCAAGCCTACTTACTGGAACAGAGATTGCAGGAAAGCCCAGGATATTCGCGGTTACGGCAAAGCGCATTAGATTTCCTGGAGAAGAAAATATATATTACATTAATAATGTAACTAGTGCGTGTCCCGTGCAATGCACGAGAAAATAATTTTACGATTGTATTATAAATTAAATATATAAATAACATTGATCATGATCTACCCATTATTTTAAATTAAACCAGGTTGGACACAGACCGACCGGATGGACCGAGAATCGGTTTATAATTCGATTAAATAAAAGATTTGCTATTGAATCCGTCAACACCAGTCCATTGGTAGGATCGATACGATTTTCTAAATAAATTTTGCTACATTTAAAATTATTGTAAATAAAATTACATATTTAAATAAAATAGAGATTTATAAATTGTTTATCAATTAGTTTAAACATTTGAATTTATAAATTATTTAGATATATATTTAAATTTATTACAAAAATTCCTATATATGTATATTAAAATGTTTATAAATTAAAATCAGAAGAAACCACAAGTGATTTAATAAAATAACTTGATCGTTTCGATGACGGTCCGATTCTGAAAACCTTATATTTATTGTACATTAATAAAAATTATAATAACATATTATTTTATTCACATAAATATTACTAAAATGATATATAAATATTTATAAATTATTAAACATGTTGTCATAAAAATATTGTTAATATGGTTATTTGAAGTTTGGATTGCATCACATTTACGTAATAAAGTATTTTCAATATTAAAATTTATATTTATATTCAATAATCGATTTTGTCTGGTCAAACTGATATAAAACTTAGTCACCTGGGACCAACCAAGTTGTGTCAAGTTTTTTGACTATTTTAAATCACCTAAAACTAAATCAATCAACCTGAACAGTACCCTAATTCAATCACCCGATTAATCTAAAGATATTTCCTTATTTTCTATAATGTATTTAATTTTATGAAATATAAATATTTTATGATTCATATAATAAATGTCTACACCAAATGATAGTATATTAAGATTATAAATTATATATTTAAAGATGAATTAATTATTTTTACTATGCATATTAAAAAAATAAACATAGTAATTTTATAAAAATTAATATTAATTGATTGATTATCCATTTAAAGAATTTCAATATTTTTTTGAAAGGCACAAATATAAAGACCGCGATTCTAAAACTTTTAATATATTTTGAATTTAAATTTTATAGATATAGAGACCGAGGTTTTAATGTTGTTCTTTGTTTCTAAGAAAAAATAAAAATAAAAACATGCACACTTAAAAGATCTTAGCCATATTTTTTAAATAATAAAATGAACTAAAGCCCGAAATTTAAGGTAATATTTTAATGTTGTATGATTTTTAACGAAAATAATAAAAAAATTAATAAAACTTGCTATTTATGGACTGCATTAAATGCTAACCTATTTTTTTGCTACAATTTTTAGTAAATAAGTTGTCTCTTTGTGTATATCATGACATTGTTAGTTGGCAAATTATGATTTTAAATTAACCAATGTCCACATGATACTATGATAGACATTAATGCGGTTTTAAAATATTATCTACTAAAAAACAATATCAAATCCAATAATTATTATCATTATGATTTTTGTTATCAGATTAATTGATATAAATTTGTATGTTATTGAGTTTTGAAACCAAATTTTGATACATGTCCACCGGTTGCATGTTTATCTCTAAAAAATTGGTATGATTTTGGTTG